TTCATTTAGATACGTACAAAGATTTGAATAAAAATAGTGGAGTAAAGGGTAGAATTTACTCAATTTAGTGTGGTTTGGTAGTGCATATAAAATAGGTCACACGGAATGTGTAAATAGTAAATTGTAGATCTTACAAATACCAGCTCAATAGGACCTTCATTTGAAATAGCAAAAACTTAGGGGTTGTTCTCTTTGTATTTCAGTTTTGTGTTTTGAGTGAATTCATTTTGGGTTTTATGTTTTAAGTGTCCATTTTAAGATTGTTGAAAATGTGTTCTTTTTGACATTTTGAAAAATTATTTTGAGCACGCCTAAAACGCGTTTTGAAAATTTTGATTGATTATAATTGAAAACACCAAAAACGACAAATTTGTCGTTTTCTTTGTAAATTTTAACTTATTTTTAAAAACGCGTTTTCGAAAATAGGAAAGATACGCGTTTTTACTGTTTTGGAAAATCGAAAATAGAAAACGATTTGAAAATAGTAAAGAGAACATTCCTTTATTTTTGGGGTCACATAGGACTAGGGATGCAAAAAGAGAGCCGTCCCATACTTGCCACATTTTTTGTCCTGTTTAAATTTTTAATTTTAATTAATTTATTTATTTTGTAATGAGCAGGTAGATAATTTGGGAATTGGGATAGTGGGATTCAATAATCGGTTCGGGCTTAAGAAAGTTGGGCTGCGGTGTTTTGATTTTTTTTTTTTTAAAATAATTAGACAAACAAGGTGAAGGTAACAATTTTTGCCCCAAAACCGCCCCGGGTGCCCTGACTAAGCAGATCATATCCACCACGAACGGGGCATGACACCGTTAAATTCGTATAGAACTTAATTTATCTTTATTAGAACAACATCTAATGTCGCTGCATCTAAGTCGAATTTGTTTCGATTTTTGAGCTAGTTTTCACTCATCTCATTTTCTCAATGATAATGTGAACATAAGTTGTATTGGAGATACGAAAACCATCTATTGAGGACTCAAGTGCTATGAAAACAAAGGGTTGGATACTCGTAAATAAAAGGTTGAAGACCTAATTGTTACATCTCACATTAAGTTAGGGACCCTAGTTGTGATATTTTCTATATTAATATTTAATTAGGATTATAACTGCGCTTATGTCATCTTATTTTTAATTTCCATTTAATATATATTGTGTCATCTCAATTTTTATTTTTAGAAAATATTAACCTACTTTCTTAGGTCGATAATGAATATTGCATTATTTCTTTGTTAACTAAATACATAACTTTTAGCCTCGATTAGTCGATTTGATTAGTTAAAAAAACAAGTTTTTAATATATTTTGATAAAAGTTAATAATATTGTTTGATTGAAATTTTTATTAAAATTATGGATTCAATAAAATGTGTGATTAAAATAATTAACTGAACAAATTAGGAAACCATCAACAAATTTATTAAATATATCAAAAAATAATCAAATAACAATGAACCTTCATTCTTTAGCACGAGTTATGTCCAGTGGCTCGTTTTGCATGAAATTCAGTTTTGACGTGATTGATTGAATTGACGTACCAATCGTAACATGCCAAGCCATTTGATTTGGAGAGATGCTACATACAAAGCTCGGCTCACAGCTCGGATGACAGCCCTCACACATTCAGGGACGGGGCCCGCGATTAAAATAACAAAATTCAGAGGCGGGGCCCGCGGCTTTGAGTGTGTGCTGTGACCCGAGCTGTGAGCTCGGGCTGTACAAAAAGCCTAATTCTTTGATTTGAACCAAAGAATTAACGGTCCACAGCCTTAAATGCAAAATAGATTCTTTGTCCCTTACGAACGTAATAAAGAAAAAGACACGACACAAAGTTTTTTATTTGTCATGTGCATTCAACATCCAAATAAATTTATATTATGAAATTTCGTTGTAGACCTTGTACTATTTAATTAAAATAGTTTTATATCACAAGAAATTCTAACTTATTTGTTTGGTTCATCAATCTTGCAAATGGTGACCACATCATCGGGGGGAAATTTCTATGCTGTGAACAAATGAATGAACGTCAAGCAACCGGAAATTGTCTGTTTGTTAGATAAAATAGACCATACA